AACAACAGCATTGCTCACATCGTTGTCCCGGGATATACGAGCAATGCTTCGAAGACACTTATGACTGAAAACCAGTAACCTACGAATATCTTCTACTCTCACTGGCCATCTTTCGCAGCCATAAATTAGGACGGAGCAAACTACTGAGTAGTACACTCGTCCTTTGGTTAGCGAATGGTTATCTCGCCTACGCCATATGTGACACAAGTTGGCAGAAGCCAATCGAGATTTCTGTATCCGTGCTGAGTTTTAGTCACACACCATGCCATCAGCTCTGATAAGACTCCCGAGATAAGTGAAGCGGTCGACACGCTCAACCACACCACTGCCTATCACAAGTTCAGCTGTCGATGCAGCCCAATCCTGAAGCGACATATTGCATTTCGAGGGAGAGAATCTCATCCCGAACATGTTATCTTGTTTGCTGAGGGTAGTCAGAAGACTCTGCATTTTTTCAGTGTCTTCATCAAGTAGAACCATGTCATCGACATATTCTAAGTCAACAAGCGAGTTTCCTGGTAGAGAAGGTCAATCAACCCTTGAAAAGTCAGACGAAAATAATGTGAACTCAGAGAGCATGTCTATGATAATGTTAAACAAGAGGAGAGAAAGTGGACATTCGTGATGGATACCACTTAAAGTAATGAATTCTGATGACATTTCTCCATAAGCTCTCACTCGACTAGTAGTGTTCGAGTAGAGAGCTTGTATAAAGTTAATATACTTTTTTGGTACACCTTTCAATGACAGACACTGCCACAGAACCTCACGATCCACCGAGTCAAATGCCGCCTTAAGGTCCAGGAAGACAACTATTGTAGGACACCTATATGTGTGTCTGTGTTGAGGGCCTGTCGTAGTGTGAAGATATGGTCTATACATCCACGTCCAGGTCGAAAACCAGCCTGATTTTCTCGAATCTGCTCTTCACAAGTTCTAGTTAGGCGTCTAAGTATTATCGAGGCTAACAATTTAAACACTACATTGGTTAGATTGATTCCTCTGTGATTGTCACGAGAGGACTTTTATCCTTTCTTATAAATTGGGATGGGATGGAGACTAGTTGGATGAGATTATGCCCAGTTCCCAGATTCTACGTAAGACCTCAATCAACCTAACTGCTAAAACTCGACCACCATCTTTAAAATTCTCAGGGGTTAGCCTATCAGGACCCACCGCTCTTCCACATGCTTCAGATTTCCTATAGCTATCTCGACGTCGAAAATAGTTGGAGAACTTACATCGATTCGCCATTCATGTTAACCGGAGATCGTGGTCATCGGAAGTGTGACTGAAGGTCAGTCGAACAGATTACTAGAGTGCTTTGCCCATAGATCCATTGTCCTGGATTGAGAATGAACAATAAGCCCGTTGATTTCCGAGTTAGTTTCTTTTATAGTGTTTGCTTCCTAATACCGATTTCATTGATAAGGCGTAACAGTTGTTTACTGTCGCCTGTCTCTGCTGCCTTTTCCATTGCTCTTGGTTTCACTACCCACCACTGTTTGCGATCATCGCGTAAGCTTTTTATGAGCCTGTACCCATGTTCACTTTGCTCTTCGTCATGTTCAGGGCCAGGTGGGATGAGTTTCCGAAAATATATTTGTTGGGTAGGTGCTACTGAAACTCATTGTTTCTCCTTAACATTATTGTTTACCTCAATAGCAGAGATCACTGCTGTTTCCTCGGCTTTTAGGATATCGTTTTTAGCTGCCTGCGCGATGGCCGCATAACTGTTTTCCTAGTTGTTACTGAAATTTATTCTTAGGTTTGGCACCATTAAGTAAGACTCTAAGAGGTTTCTTTGCTCTGTTTTTTCTACGTCCAGTAAGCCTCAAACAAATACGCGCTCGCACTAGAGCATGGTCTGAGTCTAAAGACGTGCTCTAGAATGAGCGGCAGTCTTCAACAGAGCATCTCCATTGACGACTGATTTTGACGTGATCTAGTTGGGTCCAGCTTTGGGACAACTTCGATTATCGCCAGTTTTAGATGTTTTTACTGATGCCTAAAGTCATTATTGGCTTACAACGGACGGTTATCTGAGCATAGCTGCTGTACACGGTCACCATTATCTGTTCTTCGAGCCACGACACCGAGAGATCCACCCAGTTAGTCGTTCTACTTGAGCATTGATGTCATCAACCACCAATACTATATCAGGGCATTTTACGTTCTGAAGGAGGTCCGAAAGCTTTCTGTAAAACTCATGTTTCACCTCGTCTGAACTGCAGTAAGTGAGAGCGTAGTTCGATACGACGACGAGGCAACAGCGAGCGCCCTAATGTCTTGTTTAGTCGGACAGCACACAAGCGACCATCTACTTGGATCTGTTCTAAGAGATCTAGTTCTCTGGGACTCAATACTATACCTACACCAGCGAGTCCATAGGAAGCAGCATCAGGTCTTCCAGATACACGAAGAGTTAATCAAGTTGGTTCTTTAACTTGGCATGGTGAGGTAAAATGGATGACGCTTCTCGGATCCGGTATGTGCGTTTTCGAGACGAGAGATTCTAAAGTCCTAGCTAAGGAAGCTTGTTGTCCTATTCGACAATATGTCCGGACACTAAAAGTTTCAATATGTTGTTCAGAATGGGGTTTCACGAGACCAGGAATAACGTTTCATGAACTCGCATAGATTACATTAGCGGTGCGGGCTTATAAAGGAATGTGGAAATAGGAGAAATGTTAGGGCGTGTAAAAATGATTTGATTGTGACCGACTTGTTGCCGTGTGCTGGTACGGGTATGAGTGCGGGAGCCGCTGCCCACACCTGGGAAGGGTGCTTCTTGGGGGGCATTGAAAACTAAGGTAGATTTACGTTGGCCTTAGAGACCTGGGAGAGTGACCGCACACCCTAAAGGAAAAATGCTTGAGTCCAGTGACGCACGGCCTTTTTATGAGAAGTTTGCGAAGTGTTAGCTCCGCTCTTGTTCAAAAGGCCTTACCGCCGTAAACGGAAATCCATGAGGTAAGGTGACGTGTGAAATTTTTATGGTCGACCTTTTCTAACCCTTCCTTCCTTTTGAAAATGAAGCATCATTGTAGATGTTAGTTGTCCGAGGGCAACACTTTACTTCCGTTACACCCCTCTACATTCAGCAGTACGACTTCACTCTCAAACCTTGATTTGCTACTCACCGTTCTCCGATCGGCATGCCTGGTATGGTAGAACCTTCAGGAACATATGTTACAACCAATGTAGCTTGGTTGGGTCATCACGATAGACAAGCACGACCACCTCGTCAAGGTACCAGCTACGGTCGGGGACCCAAATTTGAAGATTCCTTATCATATTTAGACAGTCATCAGTGAAATACTGTAAATATTCTCGAGTGACAGATCTTTTTGAATAACTAAAAGCATACATCCATTTAAATATGGTTCACACTAAATTCGTTAGTTTTATTTTAACCTTCACAAAAGTATTTTCCAGAGGCCAGTGTAAAATAGTATCTTGTAGAGAATTTCAGGTCCATTGAATATCTCATGTCCGTATATTTTTTGTGCACACAATGAGTGGCACAAGTACATTCATTTTTTGTGTTCTCTCAAATCCTAAACTTCTTAATTCCTCATCACTTTATCTTTTTTATTTCAAGTTTATTTCACTAGATCCTACTTCTCGAATAATATCTTCGAACCCTAGTCTCTCCGATTACTGCTAATACTTCTACTAGCTTTACTACTATAGGATTTGTATTGACAATTACATCTCTGTGCTAATGTGGCAAGGCAATCTGAAATGATGTATGTACGTACGTGAGAAGTTCTACGTTGCTGTTGATTGATCGATTGGTATCATTATGTATTTATAGCAACTAGTTGTTACCAAAGATGCTTCGGAATGAACCAATAAAAACTAGTTCGATGACCGTTTTTCAATATTCTAAACTGCGTCAGATATTTGTCCTAATCATCTAGAGATACAATTAAGACGACTTCAAACCATAGTTTATCCAACACTGTTTTAACACGTGTTTTTAGCGATACAAGAACCGGGTCCAGTCATGTAATGAGACATTTTCGGCAAACATAACCGATTTCCAGAGGCGTACAATAATAAGACTATACGTACAGTAAGCGCTACGTTTTACTGATTTCTGAATCTCTGGGCGTTATAAATTGCTACATCTTAACTTATAGTAGGAGATCGTCATCTATCAAATAAACTGGAAGTTACGCGACATGAAGGTATCTTACGATTTTTTGACAGGTTTTATGGGAGTGCAAGTTAATGAAGTAAGTGATAAAATGGTACCTAAACACTTTATAGGTGCTTATCTCGATTACTAATCGCCATGTTACGGGGTGCGATTAGCATTCACCGGAATTCTCAGTCTAATTTGGAGTCGCCAGAGTTGTCCACTATTTCTCGTTTTTTTTCAACTTTGCCTGAGACATTCTTTTGAAAAAAAACCTTTTACGTATAAATTCTTAGGAAGAGATCTTTAACCTAATTTATTTATTTGGAACATGCAGATGACATAGTCATGTTTCAGAAAGACGCTGATATATGATACAATTTCTTTAACGCTTTGGGTACTAATGCAATCCATATTTGGTTTTTTTTTACTCCAGCGTTGTTTCAAGACTGTTGTGGAGATGTTCGGTGATACAGCTCACAATGGCGCAGATGCAAATACTCGGCCTTAAAATACTTGTACTTTTCAAGGAATAAATCAATTATTCTGGAATCATATTGTCTATGCCTAATGTTTTCTAATACTAATAACTATATTGTTTCTACTTCTATTATTTCGAGGTTTGTCTTGACAGTATTATAGTGTGGCCAATTGAACTGGTATATATACACCAGGTTCTGCTTTGTATAGCTGGGATTAAATATCAACACTACTATGACTAGATAACATTAAACAGATTAATTAGTTTTTTCAATCGCAACTCATTATCTGAATTAATTTCACCCTTTGAATCAAGCTACAATTTCAGCATCAAAATGTAATAAATTCATTCAAAGTCAATCAATCATGTGTATTCGGGAATCATATTTTGTGTTTAATTCCTTTTAACTAAATGTTCCGTTATTTTCATGTTTTACTCTTATTTCTTTTCATAGATGAAAATATTTAATGACGTATATGTAGAGAAAGAGAAAAAGGGTGAGAGGTATGTTTGTAGGTTTTATAGAGGAAAAAAATGCTCGAAAGGAACAAGTATAATCATCATTAGCATAATAACAATAATACTAAAAGTAAATTACATTATAGTTAGTAAAGGCTAAATTTTACTGTTGTTCTTATTCATTTGCAAATCGGTGATAAGCTAGGCCTAAAAAACTCATCAATTGCCAACTAGTTAAGGTCCACCAAACTAAAAATCCAAATACACCGCGTGAAACAATCATTCCACGAAATGAGAAATGATCCATAATTTGACTAAAGATAAATCTGGCCTGCATAAATGCAGTTGACCATGAAGTTAAATTATTTTGATCAATGAAATCAAATAAAAAATAGTTGGTTGAATTATTTTGAGCATTTAATAGAAAAGATGTTTTTAGATTTAATGTATCAGAATAGAGATGTTGTTGATGATGATGATCATAGGGTAACCATGATAGACCTGATAAATTTTTATATAAACATAAAAGACATAAGAACAGGAAACAGGGTGAAATATATTGCAAGGCGACTAGGTTTAAGCAATAAAATATACTTGCAACTAATCGTTGTACTTCTTTATTTGAAGTTTTTCCTGCTTCATGAGCAAATCTGTCCAGTTTATCTTGAGCAGAATTTAAATAAGCCTATTGTATTTTTTTTTTTAAAACAAATAAAAGTGAAGTTAACATTAGTATTGTTATTAGTAAATTTGAATTAGTCAGTTATTCAACAACGACAAGTTATATTACAACAAATGCTAATGACTTTGATGGACTGAAAATTTTATCTATTCTAGGAACATTTCATAAGACGGATAGGAAAATGAAAAACGCATAGATTTAGCAATCGTATAAGTGGTTAGTGTAGTTTACATTATGAGCTGATTTAAGCGAGACAGCTATTGAAAAATAAAGAGCATTGGAAAGCTGTTTCATTCTGTTTGTGGAGCTTTCCACAGGTGTATAATTGGGATTACGGATCGCAACCAGGAGGACCTTCATGACTGTCAATGAGAGCTTGAATCGTAGTTGGCGTCCAACGGTTTGCATTTTAACTTTAGTTAAGTCATGTTATTATGTAGTCATTGTCTATTGACATTGATGATACTTGTCTCAAGTCTGGTATAGTTGAACTTCATCGGTTATTGATTCGCATTTGATGCTCTGGAATTTTGGCTGAAGTTAAACACGACGAGCACATGATTACTTTTACTAGTTGCATAGACTTTTAAAGGTTTTTCAATACGTAGTTTACATTAGGGACTAATTATCGACAAAGAACTATAGGAAGCTAGAAGACATTGAACAGTATGGGACATATTAAAATTGATAATTCACACAGTTATGTATTTGATTTCGAACCAAGTTTATTAATGAGTGTCAATGATTAATTAGTTACTGGAATTAAAGTAGGTGAATATGCGATCAAATGTTACAATAAGTCATCACTCTTATTAATATTTATTTCACAGTTTGCACACTTCTTTACTTCTCGTTAACTATTGCTACGAGTAAATTATATAGGAACAGAAAATGCATGCTATACACGTAATATCCTATACGGTAAAATATAGATTTCCGGTAAATCTCTATTCTCTACTGTTGAAACGATGCGTGAAGAAAAGGTAAATTTAACGGTTTTTATCATAATTTACAAAGAATTTGAAGTCTATTGTTACAGGCTTTGGGTGATACGGGTCAAAATCGTATGCACAGGATAAAACTTATTAATTTTTGTTTTGTTGCTGATATTGTGATATACTGTTACTTTCTCTACTATTTTTGTTCATTTGATTTTCTTTCTATTAGTTGCATCTCACTCGTTCGGTAGTGAATGATCATTGGATTTATTATTTTAGAGGTTTTAGTGATCTTTTACGGTTATCATAAACCTAAAATAATAAGTGATGAAGAATAGATGGAAGAGTATGTATCTACGCAAATACAATACTGAATTCACGAATTGTTTTTGATGATATTTTTTAATATTATTATAAATTGTAGTGGGGGCATTAATATCCTGGAGTGAAGTCGATAAAATATGTATGTAAGCTACATGATTTGCGACACGATTATTGATCAAATAAGAATATGCATACTGTGTAGGCAGCATAGAAGTTAATTTCAGAATTATTTAACTTATTTATTTCATATAAAGTTGTATCACTAAGTAGCAGCGCCAGTGAAAAAAGTATAGTAGAAGTGCTCCAAGAATCCTCAAAAGCTATCCAGTAAAAGATGAATAATCAATCCAATCAACCAATCGCAACGCAGAACTTCGTACGCAAGTACATCAGTTCATGTTGCCATACCACATTAGCACACAGATGTAATTGTCAATTCAAATCCAATAGTAGTATAGGTAGTAGGAGAGGTTAGGATTAGATGATATTATTCAAGAAGTAGAATCTAGTGAAACAGACTTAAAAAGATTAGGATAAAGTGATGAAAAATCAAAAAGTTTAGGATTTAAGAGAACACACAGAATGAATGCACCTGCGCCATTGGACACGGTTTTGAACAACGTCATCCAAGGTCTCTAACCATCGATTACTAACATCTCGCGGACCCCAACCAGGTAGTCGACACCTACCAACATGACTCAGTCCACTTGTCAGTGACTTCAGGGATTTGAGCGATGTTTTGGTTTGGCCGCCCCTAGCCTTCCTCCAACCTACTCCTACACTGCAAAACATCTCTGGACGAGGCAGTCGTCGGTTGAGCAGTCGTAATACATCCCAACCACCTCAAATGATGAAGTACTACTACTTCAATTGATCTGCCATCCTTACCTAGCACCCGTCTCCTAACAACAGCATCGCTCACACGGTTGTCCCAGGATATACGAGCAATGCTTCGAAGACACCTATGATCGAAAACCAGTAACCTACGAATATCTCCTACTCTCACTGGCCATGTTTCGCAGCCATAAATTAGGACGGAGCAAACTACTGCGCAGTACACTAGCCCTTTGGTTAGCGAACGGTTATCTCGCCTACGCCATATGTGACACAAGTTGGCAGAAGCCAATCGAGATTTCTGTATCCGTGCTGAGTTTTAGTCACACACCATGCCATCAGCTCTGATAAGACTCCCGAGATAAGTGAAGCGGTCGACACGCTCAACCACACCACTGCCTATCACAAGTTCATCTGTCAATGCAGCCCAATCCTGAAGCGACATATTGCATTTCGAGGGAGAGAATCTCATCCCGAACATGTTATCTTGTTTGCTGAGGGTAGTCAGAAGACTCTGCATTTTTTCAGTGTCTTCATCAAGTAGACCCATGTCACCGACATATTCTAAGTCAACAAGCGAGTTTCCTGGTAGAGAAGGTCAACCCTTGAAAAGTCAGACGAAAATAATGTGAACTCACAGAGCATGTCTATGATAATGTTAAACAAGAGGAGAGAAAGTGGACATTCGTGATGGATACCACTTAAAGTAATGAATTCTGATGACATTTCTCCATAAGCTCTCACTCGACTAGTAGTGTTCGAGTAGAGAGCTTGTATAAAGTTAATATACTTTTTTGGTACACCTTTCAATGACAGACACTGCCACAGAACCTTACGATCCACCGAGTCAAATGCCGCCTTAAGGTCCAGGAAGACAACTATTGTAGGACACCTATATGTGTGTCTGTGTTGAGGGCCTGTCGTAGTGTGAATATATGGTCTATACATCCACGTCCAGGTCGAAAACCAGCCTGATTTTCTCGAATCTGCTCTTCACAAGTTCTAGTTAGGCGTCTAAGTATTATCGAGGCTAACAATTTAAACACTACATTGGTTAGATTGATTCCTCTGTGATTGTCACGAGAGGACTTTTATCCTTTCTTATAAATTGGGACAATGAGGGATTGAGACTAGTTGGATGAGATTATGCCCAGTTCCCAGATTCTACGTAAGATCTCAGTCAACCTAACTGCTAAAACTCGACCACCATCTTTAAAATTCTCAGGAGTTAGCCTATCAGGACCTGCTGCTCTATCTCGCTTTAGATTTCCTAATGCTTTCTTAACGTCGATTTGCCATTCGGGATGACTGGGATCGTGGGCGACCGAAGTGTGGCTGAAGGCCAGTCACACTGGTCCCTGAAGTGTTCTGCTCATCGGTCCAGTCTCCTGGATTGAGAATGGGTATTAAGACCATCCTTTTCCGAAATAGTCTCACGCACATTAGTGTTCCTAATACCAGTTTCCTAGATAAGTCTGAATGGTTGTCTGCTGTTACCTATTGCCACTGCCTTTTGTATCGCTCTCACTTCTACACCCACTACTGTTCGCGAACATTGCGTAGGCTTTTTATCGGCCTGTGCTTAAGCTGACTTCACTCTTCATCATGTTCACAGCTACGTGGGATGAGATTACGAGCGTCTATCAGTTCGATGGATGCTACTGAGATCCACGCCTTCTTCCTGGCCTTACGGTATACCTTGCTAGCAGATATCACTGTTGTTTCCATGGCCCTTTTGATATCGTTCCGAGCTGTCTCCAGATGGGAATCACTTACATGGTTGCCTTACTGTCTTACTAGTTGCTCCTGAAATATATTCTTAGCACTGCAATCATTAAGTAGAACCCTAAGACATTTACTTACAGTGTCTTTCCTACATCCAGTAAGCCGCAAACAAATACGCGCTTGCACTAGAGCATGATCTGAATCTAAACATGTGACCCAGAACGAGAGACAGTCAGTCTTTTATCGAACACCTACATCGGTGGCTGATAGCGACGTGTTCTAGTCGGGTACAGCGTTGAGACAACTTTGGGGGTTGCCAGGTCAAAAGATGCTTTTCCTTATGCTTAAAGTTAGTGTTTGCTAGAAATAGGCGGTTATCTGAGCATACTTACAACAGACGGTCGCCATTATCTGTTCTCTGAGCCGCGACATCATAACATCCACCCAGGTGTCTTTCATTCTCACTTAGTCTACCTACTTGAGCATTAAAGTCTCCAGCTAGTATTGGTATGTCAGAGTGCCTAGCTTTTTGGAGGAGGTCCGAAAGCTTTCTGTAAAACTCATCTTTAACATCGTCTGAACTGCAGTCAGTTGGGGCATAGGCAGATACGATGAAGAGGCAACGGCGATTATCCCTATCTTTCCGAGTCCTTACTGTCCCGTTTAGTCGGACAGCACACAAGTGACTATCTACTGGGATCCGGTCTAAGAGAGATAGTTCTGCCCTACGACTCAATGCTATACCTACATCAGCGAGACCCCTGGAAGCAGCATCCGAGCTACCGGATACACGAAGAGTAAATCGAGCTGCTTCTTTATTTTGACAAGGAGAAGTCAAATTACTGACTTTACTAGGATCTTGCATGCGCGTTTCCGAGACGCAGCATACATCGATGGCGGGAGATTCAAATTTCATAGCTAAGGAAGCCTGTTGCCCTATTTGACACCATGTCCGTACATTAAATGCTCCAACATTTAGTCTAGAACGGGGTTTCAGGAGACCAGGAATAACGTTTGGTGAACTCGCATTGTTTGCATTAGAGGCGGGAGGTGATAAAGGAATGTGAGTAGAGTTAATCGTGCAGATAAGAGAGATAAAAAAAGGATGAATAGTCTTTGTTATATTAGCTTTTGAACTCGTTATAGCAATAATAGTACAAATGAATTAAACAATGAGTCATGAAAAAACTATACACATACCTGTAATATCCAACGAACAGTAGAAAGACGAAATAGTACAACTATTAACGATATAACCAGTCGAATGCTATCCAAATGTTTCATGAACAGATTAGATATAAAGTTGATGATTATGATGAGAAAAGGCTGTCCAGTTAATAAATCGCTATGAGTGAGCGTAGTCAGTGAACGAGAAATATGCTCAGTGATTGGAATAAGCCAGAGTAAAATAGGAATTATTGGACAAATGAAATTCAGATGTATTATGAATCGTTTGATTAATGACAATGGATGTTGCCTACATATGGAAGAATGATTTAGAGATTAAAAGACATTAAAGTACGATGAATTACACTACTTTTTATTATTTATGATACAGATTTTTATGAGGTTTTGTGAAATTACTCATTTAAAGCATTCCATTTTCAGCAGAACGGAGGTTCATACTGTTGTGGTATTTATACCAAGTATTTTTACTGTAATTTCTAAGGACAGTTTTTATTTATTATGTACTGCATATTCACTTACGAAGGCTGATGATTAAATGGTTTGTTATTATTTGAGTAACCCTTTATTGGCTTCTCTGATGATTGATCTAACTCCGATTGTAATTTTCCGGAAATACTTCACAATGCTTAATTCCTACAAGGTTAGTGATTGAAAATTTGTCAGTGAGTAGTTGAAGAATATTTTATTTTAAGCAGCTAGAAAAGGTTGGCAAGTCAAGCGGCATACTGATTATAACAAGCAGAAAGTGTGTAGAAAGTCGATCAGTACGACAAAAGTAAACAAGTGTTCGAATGTTTGATTAAATTCTCAAGTGCATACAAAATAAGTCTAGCTTTGACACAGACAAACCGGCACTTAATATAGATCAACAACAACATCCTAGGAAAGGGGTTTTAAGAAAGGATGGCAGATCATCAAATGAAGTAGTGAATTTTCATTAGTTCATGTGGTTTACACATGTGTTACATATGTCTATCCACCGAATACCTCGACAGGCGATGTTTTTGTGGTGTAGGGGTAGGCTGGAAGAACAAGGGTGGTCAAACCAAAACAGGGCACAAATTCATTAAGCCACTGACAAGTGGACTCAGCCATGTTGGTAGATGTAGACTACCAGATTGGGGGTCCGCGAGATAGTCGTAACCGGTAGTAAGGGACTTTGAATGACATGGCTAACAGTCGTTTGCAATGGCGTAGGTGTATCCATTATTTGTCTTCTCTCAAATCCTAGTCTTCTGAATTCCTCATCGCCTTTATCTTTGTCTTTCTAAATTTATTTCACTGGATTATACTTTTCCAATCATATCTTCGAATCATGAAATTCGCGATTGCTGTTAATACTTCTACTATCTCTACTACTATGGGATTTGAATCGACAATCAGACCTCACTGTGCTAATGTGGTATGGCAGCCTAAGCTGAGATACGTATGTAAAAAGTTATACGTTGTAGCTGACTGCCTGACTGACAGTGACATATACTACAATCGGAATGTTTTTGTTACATACTATGACTTTTCCGTCAATGTGCAGTAAGACAATAAAACTTGAATGGTTAAGGTTAAATCCTTTTTACAGTGAGTGATTTACACAGTAGAACTTCGTACGTACGTACATAAGTTCAGGTTGCCATAGCAAATTAGCAGAGACAAAAATGTCAATTCAAATCCCACAGTGGTAGACATAGAAGTATTAGCGGTAATGCAGAAGATTAGGGTTCGAAGAAATTATTCAAGTATAATTCAGTGAATTAACTTAATAAGAGAAAAAAGAAACGGTGATAAGGAATTCAGAAGATTAGATTTTGAGAGAACACAAAGAGTGGATGCACCTGTGTTAATGGGGTCAAAGTACTTATGGATTAGCTAGAGCTTTTCTCTAGAATATGATGGATGCTATTCTCAACATAAAAATATTTAACAATCTGATAAAACGGACTTAATCCATTGTTATTTCCTGCTATATAACTAAGGTAGTCAGTGTTTTGTAGAAGCTAATGTCCGTAGGGAATAGATGATTCAATAAAGTCCGGATAATTTATAAAGGATTCAAAATATAAACAGTAAAATTAATCACACATCCATTCTCATTATCTACAAAATGCACACTCACTTAACAGTGCTCAAGTATATCTTCCCAAATTTTATTCCTGGATAAACAAACAGGGAACCAATTGAACAGGCTATAACGGCTAGAATGAAGTGAAATGCACCCCAGCTAATGATTGGAGTGCTAGAAGAGGCAGATTCTCCAAAAGTTAAATTTCCGTAGGCAGCTTGAAGGCCGAAATCAAGCAATGTTCCATCAAGGGAGAGAAATAGGGTTGCAACAACAAGGAAGAAAAAGCCAGCTGCAAGGATGAGTATACACTCACCTGAAAGTGTGTTTGTAAGTGCTGTATTTATAGTGGATTTAAAAGATCGAGATTCGATTTTTGTGGAGTCATTTTTAGATTGAAAGTACATTGCTGTCAAGGAGATGAGAGTGCGAATAGTAAACCAAAGACTTAAAGTCATCCAAACTAGACTCAAATTGATACGTACGCTGAGAGATATGGGATACGGAGAGCTTTGGTTTGCGCCAGTATATGATACCGAGGTTCGACTTTTGTCAAAACCTTCATACCATGGGATGATGCAATTATAAGCTACTTCGTTAATTAAATATACACAAACAGCACATACAGTGAAGTCAACCAACCACTGATGACTAGAATATAAGGGTAAAATGGCGACATCAGAGCTAGATACATTTGACCGCTTTAGATGAATGGTTGTCGAGCGGGAAAAATAGAAGGTATCCGAGCTACAACTTGATCCATTGGGAGATCCAGGAAGTGAGTCATTCCTCTTTCTTTTACCTGAAGTAAAAAAGGACGGTTACTAAAATTTTTTAGCACATTTTAGATGAGCAATGGACTGTAAAACGTGCCTTTAGTTGCACCCATAGTGAAGTAACAAATACTACATCACGAGTTCCTGCAATATCTTTGATGGTAGTGGATAGTCACTAATAATACATATCGAGAATTATCTACGTACACGACAGATGTCTAACCTTAGCTATTAATTTACACACAAACAATAGTAAAAAGGAGCACAAAAATATATATACATATAGGATTTGACGGAACAAAGAATGAATGCACCCGGACTAACGCAAACAGTTTTGAGCCATATAATTCAGGGTCTCTAACCAACGATTACTATCATCTCGCGGACCCCAACCAGGCAGTTGACACCTACTAACATGAATAAATCCAGTTGTCAGTGATTTCATGGATTTGAGCCATATTTTGGTCTGGCCGCTCCTAGCCTTTCTCCAGCTTATTCCTACATCGCAAAACAGCTCGATGAGGCAGTCGGTGGTACAGCATACGCAACACATGTCCCAACCACTTCAACTGATGAAGTTTCAATACATCATCTATTGATCTGCCATCCCTACCTAGTACTCGTTTAATAACGACAGTATTGCTTACTCGGTTGTCCCAGGATACACGAGCAATGCTTCGGAGACATCTATGATTGAAAAACAGCAACCTACGAATATCCACTACTCTGGACTAGCCATGTTTCGCAGCCATAGATTAGGACGAAACGAACTGATGCGCAGTACACTAGCCCTTTGGTTAGCAAACGGATATCTGGCTAAGCAATAAGTGACGCAAGTTGGCAAACGCCAATCCAGACGTTTAAACCACCAGGTAGTGGAGTAACGTTAGTAAATGCATTCTAATGGTAACCAGTGACCAAACATAGGTTTAGCCACTACTCGTTCCTTTAGGATTTTGGAGCCCATGTGCACCAACAGTTTGGGATCTAGATGTACCAACCTCCTTAGGTTGATTTTTCGTACCCACCAAACCAGTTTGGGTTTCCGACGTTTACTATCGATCCTTGCAATTTCGTAAACAAAACTCCACCAATGAGGTAGTGAGTAGGATATCCTTGGGTATAGTTAAGCACGCGTGGCAGACGAGAGCGTTTTGAGGGAAAGAGGACACTCAACTCCCGGTAATATTAAAGCATTTGGGGCCTGCACAACTTACAGTCATACTTAGTGGGATTATATTAATACGGTACGTCAAAGACATTTATCAGCAGTACTTGCTACAGTCTCCCGAATGGCTTATATTTTCATTTGATGGGAAGTGCAGTTATAATACTGACAGTCAAAAGGCTTAGGTTGAGTAGTCAAAAGTCTGACTATAATGATTATATCTATACTTTTACGTTAAGGTTTGATTGCATATGTGAAGAGCTCGCTGACAAATTTCTCCGTGTCAAAAGTTACAATATGAAGTAGCGTAAATAAAGTATTTAGTGCAGCTCATGAGAACATATATACGTAAAATCAATCTTTATTCGTACCTCGTCCTCTTAATTATGGTAGACTACAGGTGTATGATTGAAAGTACGATCACTTGACAACTAAGATGCTGTTCCATATCCAGGCTTTCTTATTTACAAAGGAGCATGTAGTGATTTAATCCGTGGGGTGAAGCAATATTTTGACAAGTAGTAATATTTGAATCAGCCGTTAAATTTCAGAAAATTGACTTTTAATGGAGATCGTCCATTGTCTTTTTGAGATTGCAAACTGAGGATGAAATGCAGACAAAACACTGAAGGTGTCTGACAACAAATGAGGGCCTATCAAATTTTGACAAAGATAACCTAGGAGGTTTAAAGACTATTTTTGGAAAATGGTTGAACAGAAAACAATGAACGAAGCGTATGTATGCTTCATTTCTTTCAACTGCACTGTAAACAAAAGGTATGATAATGAATGCAATTTTTCACGAGTAAATTGGTGCAAAATAATCTAGGTGTAAAAAACCTATAGGTTTGTTAGAAAAAAAGCACTACTGTCATGGTATTGTGGTAACTAATTCTTTACCCATTCATTACAAGCCATACAAAGGCTTCACGCCATATAAACATACCTTTGGTCTTTATTTTACAATTCCCGCTAGCTTCTAAAAGTTGTTGATCAGTTGGTACGGCATATCGTGTGAGACCCACAACCAAGAAACGAGTGAACGAGAAGAATGAAATGATTTTTGACAAAACACTAGCAGCCACCAGCGTAGTTGCTACTTGTAATCCCAGAACACCCATTGAAGTAACGCATTACTTATTGACCGCGCATCTTCCAATATCCAATATCTTTTTCATGAGCTAGTATAAACCAATTGATTTCTTTGTGCTCGATTCCTGTTTTTTCGGTACGGTTCTAGGTTTTCAGTAGTGTCCAATAAACAATCTGTACATAACAGTCTAGCATGGATCAGTTGTTTTCTTGCTGTTCATGTATCGTTATCAAAGATTAATCTTTTGTTTTCTTCAAAAACCAATTTTTCCTATCATCTTACTACGGATTATTAATAGTCGATAATTTTGGGTACCTGCTGGCTGTAACTTGTGGAAGAACTTGATGCAAGAGCAAATTTTTTCTGACCATAGTTTTAGTTCTTTCCATGTATTCTGTGCTCTGCCCCTGAAAAAGTATCGTTAACAACTAAACGAAATTTTTTGTGATCTTGAATCTGATAATAGTGTATAAATTTTTTCCGGAAAATTGTAATATGAAGTCACTTTAATTAAATTATGGCAGAAGAACTTTCTAAAACACACTTCTGAGAGTTGAACTGTTTATAGAACTCTATCAGATTTGCGTTTTGAAAAACTACTCCAGAACTTTCAGTGACAGAAATCCCTGAGTTAGTAGTTTAATTTCAGAGAAATTAAAATTCCCAGTATTCCATGATAAATTTACATTGGAGATGGTGACGATGAAAGGGATCACTTTGCCTTACAAGACAGATGTAATTCCACAGTCACTGCATTAAGAAAGACACTAGCTGGTTTTTTATTTACGCATTCATAGATGAGGATAGTCATGACTTGTTTGCTCTAGTATTCAGAACGCTACAATCGAGGACCCCAAACCTAGCTACACTAGAATTCTGGAATGAGAGAGTTCAGAACATATTTTAATAATAGTTATTATGTCGAAAATTATGCAGTCTGTGTTATGGGAGATGTGCAACACGGAGTGCCTGTTCGATAAAGCTGTTCCGTGGAGAATATACTCATTTCATGGAATTGGACATATGCTTACCTTCTTTTGAGTCTAAATCAAACTCGAACCCTTTTGGAGCCCGAGCTCGGAAAAAGGAGGAAGGGTGGTGATATGCCTGAAACTATTAAGAGTTCACCTTACTCGGTAAACAGTCAGATGATGCAGTGAGTTATGAGGTCTCCATTCAGAAGCATCATAACGTCTTATGACGAGAGCCAAGTTCCTTCGGAAGTGACGAGGCTGATGCCTCTTCTCACAACCAGAGAAACAATTCCTTTAGGTATATGGAATGTTCTAACATTTTAGAAGACCGAAAGACTGTTCGAAATTGCTACAGAGGTGAAAAGATTCGAACTGGAGGTTCACAAAAGGCACTGATAGCATGTGAGTCTCATAGACCCAGGGTCATCAAAGCATCCTTGAAAACAAAGAAAGAGGACATTACAACTAACGTCATCCAATGCTATGCACCTACCAACGACTACAATGTCGAATTTAAAGATCGTTTCTACAGTCAGCCTTCGAGAGATACTCATCAAAGTATTTGATTGTTCTGATTGGAGACCTAAATGCCAAGGTTTGCATGGACTACACTGGATATGAAGACATCATGGGACGGCATTGACACGGTGAGAGATTTGTAAACCTATGTGCCTTCAACAAACTGGTCATAGGCGGCACCATATTCCCATACAAACGCATACAAAAAGCTACATGGATTTCACCGGACCACACTACTCAGAACTAAATCGACCATATCTGTATCAGCAAAACGTTCAGAAGGACTATGGAGGACGTGAGAGCTGAAATAGCCTCAGATCATGACTTGCTAGTGGCCAAAATGAAACCGAAACTCAAGAAACACTGGACAACCGGGCAGATAACACCAGAGATGTTTAATGTGGCCTTCTTCGGGATACCGTAAAACTCAGCGAATTCAAGAAAGCCCTCAACAATGAGTTCCAGGCCTTGCACGATCCACTCAATGGAAAGCAAACTACCATGAAGGACAATCGGAAGGGAACCAAGAAGGCAATCACTTCAACATATCAGGAGGCTCTGAGCCGCAAGAAGTACTATCTAAAAGAATGGATCCCTGTTGGTTAAAATTCGAGAATGCACGAATAGGAAGACAGCAATGAACATCAGCGGAACTATCGTAAACCAAAACGACTAGTTTTAAGGAAGGAAGGCACGGTATTCTCTTCAGGATCATATGAGCTGAAGAACAAGTACCAACAGAGTGGGAAGAAGGATACTTGATCAAAGTACTAAAGAAAGGCGATCTCAGCAAGTGTGCGAACTACAGAGGCATCACTTTTCTCTCAATACCGGGCAAAGCCTTCACCATGGTGTTGTTAGACAGAATGAGGGACTTGGTAAACACCCATCTTCGATATCAGTAGGCTGGATTTCCTAATGATCGATCGCGTACCAATCAAATCGCGAAATACAATACGGATCATTGTGGAGAAATGAACTGACTTAAACTCACCACTCTACATCAATTTTATTGACTGCGAGAAAGCGTTTGAATGCGTGGACAGGACAACAGTGTGCAGGCTTCTTCGACACCACGGCGTACCTGAGAAGATGGTCAACATCTTACGGAATTATTATGATGGATTAAATTGCAAAGCCGTGCACGGAGGACAGCAGACAGGCTCTTTCGAGTTGAAGTCTGGTGTCAGACAAGGTTGCTTACTCTCACTCTTTCTCTTGGTGATAGACAGGCTTATGAACACGTCAGTCTCTGGAGGGTAACACGGGATACAGTGGACAACTAAGACGCAGCTGGACTATGTAGACTTCGCGGATGATTTTACTCTTCTATCTAATAAGCAATAGCAAATGAAAAAGAAGACGGCCAGTGTAGCAGCAGTATTAGCAGAAGCAGGTCTCAACATACATAAAGACAAAAGCAAGATTCTCTGATACAATACAACATACACCAACCAAGTGACATTTCATAGAGTTGTCTTGGAGGACGTAAAAACCTTTACATATATGGGTAGCATCATCAGCGAGCAAGGTGGATCTGATATAGATGTGAGGGTGCGGATTGGTAAAGCATGGGCTGATTTCTACAATTGAGCATCTAGAAATCGAAACAACTGTCTACAAGCCAACGCCGAAGTCGGAATTTGCAATACGAATGTCAATACAATTCTAATATATGCGGCGGAAACTTGGAAAAATACCAAACCCATCGACCAGAAGATACAAGTATTTATTAAAACTTGTTTACGCAAAATACTTCCGATACGTTGGGCCGACACCACATCAAAACATTACGCTAGACGGGGGATAACTCTACTAGAGCTAAGTTCTTCATCATGTAGAAGGCCTTGTTTTTTGGAAAATCCCTCCATGTATATATATTTGTTTTATGATCTGACTGACTCTTTCTGTTGATACTTTGTTACTCTTTTTGATCCAATTTTGGAATTTTATCATTTGTATCTTGTTATTATCCCGATATCTTGAAGTTTCCATGTTTCCTTCTAACCTACATATGTGTTGTTTAAAATTGATACTGAATATGGCTAAAGCCATTTTTGGATTTGATACTCTAGCAGCAGATCATTGAGACTGACTGGAAGCACTTAGTCTTCCAGTAACGGAACCTACTGTGGTGATTAGAAACTCGAAGGTGTAATATTGTTTTGGTGATTGTCTGAATTTCCTTTTTTGATTAAATATTGAACCGTTCTTTGCAAGAATTTATATTTTTGGACTTGGATTGGGCGAAACGCGTGTGAACCTACACCTTTTGGTTTCAGAGCTCACTGCAAGAGTAATAATATTTTTAAACGTCAGCATCCAATAACTATCATTGATAATAATAATAACAATTTATTCTCAAATAACAACGTGTTATAAGAGGCATGGCAATGCACAGGCAAGATCAAAATGTTAAGATTGCTAATATATTTTTTGTAAAACGTTGTTCAGTTACTGAAATATTTCAGTTCATAGACTGGCTTTATATAGATGGCAAAAAAATTCCCCACATAAAATTACGGAGAATTTTTCAGACTCTTCAATGTACAGTGCGAATAATTGGCGCGAGTCACAACGGTTGAGTTACGTCGAACTGCTAATGACTGCGAAACAATGCATGATAGAGCCAGGTCTGAATATCAAAAGGATTGATGAGGCGAATGGGCTAGTACCTTGTGGACATTCGTCAGATAATACATTTACAGGCTCCTGGGCAAAGTAACCAAGTCTTTGGCAATTTTCAAGACTAACATTTAAGGATTAGAGTGGGGTGCTTGAAAGAGCAATAAAGAGAAGAGGCGAGGAGCATAACAGTAAACATTCTTGTTTGAAGCTGATTCATGACTCAGCAGATAATATTTTTATATGAAACAAAGGTGCTCTTACTCAGACCTTTCCTTTTCTGTATTAAAACACTAACTGTACACCTGCACTTATTTAGGTTAATGAAGACAAGTCACTAGTAAGATAAAGGATGAGAAAATAATCTTATGAATAAAGGAAATTCAGAAGAAAAAAATCGCTATAAATAATGCTAATTTACAGAATAAAATGATGAAGTACAGTGATCTGTTGCTTTTGTGATGCTTTATTTATCATTTTGGTTTTAACTTTGTAGCTGAAGAAGTCACAAGTGGGCTCTTTTACACCATAAATTTCTAGATCTGCTTGTAATAGGATTCTTGGTAGGAAGTGAAACCAATTGGAGGCAGCGAACTTGAATCGTAGACGTAGTTAACAAGGAAAAGTAACACCAATATGATTGTCAATTACATCCTGCTATATCGTAAGTGGCCGTAAGCGAAAAAATGTTCTGCCCCATAGACATGTGTAGATTGAGTTCTTCACCCACCGTCATGAATGCTAGTCGGATACACCACCCTCCCTCATTTATTTAACATTGTTATCTCAGCGCTGATGTGGCAGTTGATCAACGAATGAAATATTTCTGTTATACAGTACAAGACTGATTTTGTTGGAAAACAGGATTCCGGTTCGAATTATCAGTTCATTTTTGCGATTGATTCTCCAAACATTTTTTGAAGGTATAGTGAGAAAAACTTGAGCC